TTTTTTTTTACTAAGACACAATGGCCTATTTCTTAGTAAGCCCAATTTAGGGAAACTTTATTGGTTTTAAAACTCCACACATTGGTATTTAAAATTATGCTTAAAAGTTCCACCTTTACTTTCTGACCCTTAGCGTTTCTTATTAGTTCAGCTTCATAAAGCAGACTTCTGTTGCTGCTTCATTTTCTGGTATTTTATGTAACAGGCCATTTCTTTCTGGTCTTCTTCCACTTTTCCTTATTTTTCTAGTATGCTCAGCAGAACAAGCTTCAAAACACATTAAGATGTGACCTGCTTTTATCAAATGGTATCTGGCTGTCCCACATCTTCTAGAATAGTAAATATTGATCCACTCCTTTCCCCAAAGCCCACACCAAGCTCACCATTCCCAGGGGCCCATTAGGGTTTGAAGCAGCTGCATTTAATTCCTCATTAATTTTGTTTGATCTTATGTGCTTGAAGCTTCAGCCTTTAAATCTCACAAGGAAAATTACCAGCAGATGGAAATGCATATAAAGTGACATGTAAAGCAATGCAAATTAATACAAAACATGTATCTCTACATTGCTTAGGAAAAGTCTGATATCTGCTTTGCTCCTCTGCACTCTGGTGAGCGTCATGGGACCCTTTTATTACAATTAACTTAATTTTGTCTTATTTATTTTGTTTGTTACAGCTAATGTTAAAGAGCATCCGGCACCTGATACTTGTTGACATACTAAGTGAAAGATGCCCCTGCCTGTGAGTTAGGCAAATGGGATCCTGGCCTTAATTTTGCTAGTGTTCGGCTCTGAAGGGCTTGGACAGGTTCTCAAAATTCTCTAGGTCTCAGATTCTACATCTGGAAATGATGGAAACGACATCATCATAATACATCCACCAGCACTAAGGCTTACTGAGCACTCACTATGTACCAGGCACAATGCACACACACACACACACACACACACACACACATTGTACATGCACCACACACACACACACACTGGGCATTCATGATGCACATGTGCCTACCTTGTGCATACATCATATGCACATTCATACATTGTACAGACATTGCACATACATAATGCACACATGCAATCCTCACAACAGCCTGCAAGAAGTCACCGTAGAGCATGTACCCCTTAGGTGTGGTGCCATTTCAGAGGCCAGGAGACCAGGCAGAAAGGTCAGGGAGCTTGTGCAAGGTCATGAGCTAGAGAGTGGTGGGGTCACTCCGGGACCACTTCAGCCACTCTGCAGCTCTGTTGTGTGATTTCCATCGATGTTTTCCTAATCATTAAATTTGCATATCTACGAAGTAAAACTTCAAACTTCATAGACATAAGTGCTTCAAAATTTGTCGTAGTAAGAAGTTGAAATTTGTTATATGAGTTTGATATCAAAATGCGAGCATGACCAGGCTGTTTTTACCAAATGCTCCCAGAGTGGAAGGGGCTGCAGACATCCTGTATGTTCACCCCTCCTTCCCACTCGTTCATTCCATTCACAGATCAATGTGTGCGGCTCTCTCATCTTAAAAAAGCCAGCACTTGCCCAGCTAGTGTGTCTCAGTGGTTGAGCATTGACCTATGAACAAGGAGGTAACGAGTTCAATTCCTGGTCAGGGCACATGCCCAGATTGTGGGCTCAATCACCATTAAGGGGTGTGCAGGAGGCAGCCAATAAATTCTCTCTCATTGATGTTTCTCTCTCTCCCTCTCCCTTCCTCTCTGAAATCAATAAATATATATATTTTTAAAAACCAGCTCTCTGTCCCACCTCTCAAAGGGCAATTTCTAGGGAGGTAAGTGTAATCCCCCAACCCCACCACACACACACACACACACACACACCCCATGATGCTCACTCCCACTGCAGATGAGGTGGAGATGCAGCACCGCCTGGTTTTCCTCCACCTCTTCCCACGAAGGCAGGGGCTTTTTTCCAGGTCCACACCCCTCCCCCACCCACCGCAGGCTTAAAACAACAGGTGACCCCCAGCTCTTTGGAGGGTAACCTGCGGCCTGCTCTATCCAGACATTGAAGTATTTCTACTCTCGAAGCCTAGAAAGCAGCTCAGTCTTAACAAAACCAAACTTGTTTTTCCTCCCCAAATCCGCCCCTCCTCCACTGTTCCCTCTTGTGTACATGGCAGCACCATATACCCAAGTGCTCAAGCTTAAACTCAGCGGCGTCACCGTGCACTCTCACACCCTACACAAAACTAGTCACCAGGTCACTCCCAGGTCTGCCTTCAATGCACCCACTTGTGTCATCCCTGCTGCCACGACCTCAGCCTAGGCCACCAGGCCTCTCACAGCCCGGAACCAGCCCTGTCTACTTGAAGGGCTGTCGAGTCCATTTTCCACACAGACACTGCAGCTTTGAATTTAACTCTCACCAGGATACTTTCAGATGTGAAACAGTCCTGAGATCAATTCCGCAAGATGGCCCAAAATCTGGCATCGTCTAGCCCTGGTACCTGCTGACCTCAGCTGGTGCCATTCTCCCCCAGGTCACACTAGACGGGTTCAGTCCCTGCTCTCCCCTCCTCAGTCTCAGGGCACACCCTTCCCTGGGCGAGCACACTCCCCCTTTAATCCTCTTCCTCCTTCCACTTGGTTTATGCAGCTCCTACTCATCCTACAGGTTCTAACTTCAATCTCCCCAAGAAGGCCTCTTGCCTTCACCCCAGCACACCTGTGCTCCCCCAGCACCCAGGACTGCCAAGCACACAGTACGTGCTCAATACATTTGGGTTGATGAAATGACTTTTCATCCTTGCAGTACATAATCCTGTCTTCCTGCTTTCTTCCTGCCTTTGAAGCTGACATAGTTTTACTTCCAGTCCCTGGTGCTAATAAGCCCCAGGCCCCCAACACCAGCGGCCCCACTGGCTGGTGATTCTCAAGGGAGAGGGAGCAGAAGCTGGGCACTGTCTGTGTAGTCTTATGTCTCTACCTGCCCCTGCCTCCATGACCAAGTTCATGCCCAGTTAGTTCCATAACGATTTACTGCCCTATCCTGAGGGTACTTGGCCTGGTGCCCTAAAGTGTGAATTCGGACTCATTGCCCAATTACACCATTCACCCCCACAAACCACCTCTCTGCAGACTGTGTGGCATTTAGCAAATAGCTGTAAACTTTACCTCTCAAAGGAATGGGTTCAAGTAATAACCAGGTGGGAACACTTCTCCCCCACTCCCAAAGGAACTCTTCAGTCTTTCCGGGAAACATTCAGTGCCACACAACCCGATTCTGTGATTCTTCAACTATGTGTTTCTCTGCAAATGCAAGTTAAGCAATGATTCAACAGCATATTAACCGGTCATTTCTCACAGCGAAATGGATCCTTAGAAAGTGCGATATAGCCAAAACCGGTTTGGCTCAGTGGATAGAGCGTCAGCCTGCGGACTGAGAGGTCCCGGGTTCGATTCCGGTCAAGGGCATGTACCTGGGTTGCGGGCACATCCCCAGTGGGGGATGTGCAAGAGGCAGCTGATCGATGTTTCTCTTTCATCGATGTTTCTAACTCTCTCTATCCCTCTCCCTTCCTCTCTGTGAAAAATCAATAAAATATATTTTAAAAAAAAAAGAAAGTGCGATATAGAAACTGCTCTATGCAACGACTCGCTTACCTTTAAGGACTTTACTTCCTCATGACACTACCAACAAGATCGGTGCCAAGGACGGGCTCTAGAATGTCTTTGATAGGTGGCTTCATAGAAAGGGCATGTGTGTGCATGTAAGATAAGGTCAAACGGGTGGCTTTCATGTCTCCCAAACAACGTGGACATTTATATTATCTATCCCCAACTCCCTTAAGATTCTAGTTTGCTGCTTTTTCATTTTGAGGACGCGAAAAGACAAGTGCCTCAAGGCTAACGCCAGCTCTCCACTGGCCCAGCCGGGCTACAATACACAAGTTTCCTGGGCTACAACCCCGCGAAAAAACCTCCCGCAAGCGGGACAGCGTAGTTCTGCGATGAACAAAACACCACCACCCGCGAGCACCGTTAGCCTAAGTGAAGACCGTAAGCCGACTCGAATGCACACCTCTTGGCTCGGGTCCCCGGAGCTCCCAGCCCGCCGGGAGGGCGCCGCCACTTCGCCGGGGGATGGAGGACTCCCGGCCCGCTCCGCCGCGCCGCGCCGACCTCAGAAGCGCAGAAGATCGTCCCTGCCGAGGGCGCCGCGGGAGGTCAGTCCCGCAGCCTCCGGTGCCCGAACTAGGAGGAGACATCCCCACCCCCAACCCACACACCTTGTCCTATTGGGGAAGCCGGGGAAGCAGCCCGTTCCCGCGGGCGCCGCCTCCCTCTCCCTCCCATTCGCCTCCCGCCGCCTGGGGGCAGCGTGGCCGGGCCCCGCAGGTCCAGGTCCGAGGAGAGGCTAGCAGGCGGGTCCGCACACACGGGCGCGGGGACCCCGTCCTTGGGCTCCCCTCACCTGGGCGGGTCTAGGGTGGCCCTCCGGCAAGAGGACCAAGACGGCGGGCCCCGGCCCCGGGGAAGGGGCGCATCCCGGCAGCCGCGTCCGCACCCTGGGAGGGGCGGGGGGTGGGGAAACCCTGGGACCCGCGCCGCTACTCGGCCATCCCGCTCCGCATGCCCGGAGGCCGGGGTGTGGACCCGCGGACCCCATCTTCCAGGACGCCCTCGCCCTACACGCGCCGGCCGCCCGCACCCTCCGCCCTCGTCCCCAGGGAACTTCCAGCGTCCGGCCTCCGCCCGGGGGCCCTGACGTTGCTGCGCCCGGCGGAGCCGCCCCGGCCCCGGACTCGGTCTCTGCCGTCCGGTGCCCGCACGGGCCTGGGACACCCGCAGGCTCAACCAGGATCCGGGCGACTTTCCCGGCCGATCCCCGCCCCCATCCCTCGAGAGGGACGGGCGCCCAGGTTTCCCCCGGAGGCAAAGTGAAAGTCGCGAGGAAGAGAGGGTCCGGACGTCCCGGCCTCCCAGCGGCTGGGACAGGGGCCCCGCACCTCGCCGGCCGGCGAGACCAAGTCGACTTACGAAAGAGAGCGGGCAGCCCCGAAGCGGGGTCCCCTCGGCTGCAGAGGTCGTCCCGGAGGGGGCCTCGGCTGCGCTCCGGCTCCCGGCCCCTCTGCTGCCGCCGCTGGCTCCCGCCTCCTCCGCCACCTCGGCGGCGCGCCCTGCCAAGGACTTGCTCTCCCTCCGCCGGGGGTGGGAGAGCGCCGAGCGGCCCCCGTGACGTGGAGGGGAAAGGAGGGGCGCCGCCGCCGCGCTCCCGCAGAGGGAGCTCCCGGCCCGCGCTCCGGGGTCCCGGCCCCGCGCTCCAGGGTCCCGGCCCCGCGCTCTCGGCAAAGTTCCCAGGCGCGCGCGGCGCGCTCCGCTCGGGTCGAGCCGCCGCTGCCCCGAGCGTCCTCCAGGTTCGGCTCCCTCCCCGCGTTAAACAGACCAGAAACCCGCGGCCTGAAGAGGTAAGCGACTTGCCCCAAGTTGCTCGGAGCGGTCACAACGCAAACTCACATCTGCGTCTTCTCGCTTCCCCCGCCCCCGAAGGCTCGGCTTTGCGGGACTCGCCCGCTTCCATTGGTAAGATAACTGTCCCACGCAGCCCGGAGAAGTGTCACCGAGGAGCAGCGTGGGAAGGGGGAGCTTTATGCCCAATAAATAGACTACAAAGTTGTTTTTTCAATCAGTGCCTACCTGCCAAATAGACACCGCGGCTTCCTCTTGACCCGCAAGCGGGGTGAGGGTGGCGGGCCGCGCGGGCGCCGTATCCGGTACCAATCCTGCTCACCCCAAAACTTGGATTCATGTTAAATGAATCCAAGCACACGCCTACTTAGCCAATTGGGCAATACCCACCACTGGGCCCGTGTGGCGGGTTCCTGTGCATAGGCTGACTTTATTAAACGGGCGCTCTGCTCTGCTCTGCCTGTGCTCGGAATTCATTCCTGCACTCGCAGGCGCCCCCGCGGAGCTCCCCCACTTCGCGGGCCAGAGCTCCTAGGGTCTGTGGTCTGCCTGGTGGGGCAGGGAGCGCACCCGGAGAGCCATTCCCAACTGGTTTCTTTACTCCTTCCTCCGAGGTCTAAGGTGATTGAGGGCCTGCTGTGTGCCTGGCTGGGTGGTGGGGAGCTGGAAAGGACCTGGTAAATCGGCTAGGAGTCCCGAAAGGGATCCCATCATCTTTACTCCCAGGATCTAGAGTCTGTCCACAGTAATAGAGACTCTGAGACTACCCTGCCCTTTAAAAAGTTCCCTGTTCTCAGGGGGAGCAAGTAATATCCATTTTACAGGCTTGTTTTCAAGCAAATGGCTAGTTTTGCACTCATCTTTTTTCCCAGTGGGAACTCCCCTCTCTGGACAAGTCATTAAAAGTCACCAATTCACCCCTCTGGTCTCCCTCATTTGCACATCAGATTGGTGATGGCTACGGTGATGGTGATGGTGATGGTGATGGTGATGGTGATGGTAATGACAAAAACCACAAGGCTTCTATTATCCATCAAAGGTGCTAATTCTAAGCAATTTATGCAGATTAACTCTTTCAATCCTTACAGCTTTAGGAGGGAGGTGCCATTTCTATTCTGATTTTACAGATGAGAAGAGGGAGGCAAGTGAGGTGAAATAATTTGCCAGTAAGTGGCAGGCCAGAACCCAGAAGCAGGAGGTCTATCCTGGTGTCCATGCTGTTAACAACTGAGGAAACAGGCCTCCAGGACTGGAATCCAAATGGTTCACCAGCCACCAGCAGCCCAGCTCACACGGGCTTCCAGTTACCTCAGGAAGGCCGCCATGAAATCCGCACACACACTCCCAAACAGGTCCATGTTATTATTTTAATATATTATATCATAAAGTGGTTATCCATTTAACTCACTTGCTCTACTATCTCCAACTCCCAGACCAACCTTTTTGTCATAAAGAGAACTGTTTCTATGATGGGACTCTAAAAACACCATTAACATGAATTCTATAAACTTTGTGTTAGATTATTCTACACTCAGACCATACCCAGCACTCTCCCTGTCCTGTCCACCCACTGCCTTCACTTAGCCCCTTCCTTCCCTTGAAACCGCGCTCCCAATCAGCGATCAACGCCTGGGTCTTCAGAAAGCAGTTGCCCAAGGCTGGATGGTGGCCCCACAAGGCCTCTGCTAGTACCACAGCATGCTCAGCATTCCCAGGGGAGTCTCCCAGGGCTGCTGTAGCAAACACCCCAAACTGGGTGACTTACAACAGCAGAAATGTGTTCTTTCATGGTTGTGGAGGCCAGAAGCCGAAACCAAGGTGTAGGCAGGGCTATGATCCTTCTGCAGGGAAGACTCCTCTGCCTCTGAGCTTATGGTGGTTGCTGCCCGTCCTTGGTGTTCCTGCTTGCAGCTGCGTCATTCCCATCTCTGCCTCCACCATTGCTTGGCCTTCTTTTCCTGTGTCTCCTCTGTGTCCAAACTTCTCTCTTCTATAAAGAATACAAGACATTGGATTTATGGCCACTCTAATCCAGTACGGCCTCACTTAACTTGATTACATATGCATATACATGAATTTTGGAGGGACTTTTTTCAACCCAGTACAATGGCCAAAAGTCATTCACTGTTAATGAAAATGTGTTGCTTGAGTTGAGGATGCAAAGAAATATAAGTCACAGTCCCTGCCCTCAAAGAAAGACACTGTAGGTACAGAGGTAGTCCCTGCACCCAGAACATAACTAACCAACAAGATAGGGGATGCTAAGAGCCAACTGACTGGGACAAAAGACAATTCATGGGCCAGGTTTGAAAGCTCCTCAGGGAATTCTAATGTGAGCCAAGGCTGTAAGCCCTCTGAGACCCACAGCACTGCTTTGGAGAACTCTGAGTGCTGCTAGGCTGTGCTCCAGTGGCTTCCAGCTTCTCGTGTCCCACGGCTGGGATCCTTGATCCCCTAGTCTGAAAGGGACATGTGCAGTTATTGAGTTATATACAATAACTCAATTTGGGGAGAACTATAATCACTTTCTCTATTGTGAAAAAAAGTGTTATTTAAAGCAACTGAATGTAATCTCTTATACTTCATGGCTAGAGCAGAAAACACTACACGAATATTTTAATAATGAGAAAGCTGAGGCCCCCTGGGCAAAGCCTAGATGGGCAGGGGTGAGTCACAGAGAGCCAAATGCTATGCTTATAATAAAATAGGGGGAAACATAGGAGAATTTTGACTTCCTGTGGCAGGCCTGGAGAAAGGTGATGGGTGGCCCAGGAGAGAGAAGGGGGAAGATGTGGAAAGAATCTATAGAAGTGGTTTTCAGCCTGGCTGCACATTAGAATCGCCTGGGGAACTTAAGCAATTACTGATGCCCAAACTTACTCTGAAAGATTCTGCTGTGATGGGTACAGGGATGTATGTGTGAGTGATGCAGCAGGGTTGTTAATCAGTGGTTTAGAGAGAACTAGGGGAGACTGAGCAACTTCTCATAATAACAACCTATATGATTTATTGAGTAACCACTATGTGCCAGCCAGTGGGCTGCTCACTTTACACGGATTATCTTATTAAATCCTCACAAATATCTTAAGAGGAAGGTACACGTTTAGACATGGAATGAGACCTAAGGAGGGTAACAAGGTTAAATAACTAGTGAATGGGGGAGCCAGGATGTGGGCCTAGAGCAGTGATGGCGAACCTTTTGAGCTCGGCATGTCAGCATTTTGAAAAACCTTAACTCTGGTGCCGTGTCACATATAGAAATTTTTTGATATTTGCAACCATAGTAAAACAAAGACTTATATTTTTGATATTTATTTTATATATTTAAATGCCATTTAACAAAGAAAAATCAACCAAAAAAATGAGTTCGTGTGTCACCTCTGACACGCGTGTCATAGGTTCGCCATCACTGGCCCAGAGCCTGCACTCATATCCACTGTCCTATACACCTCAACCAAGGCCAGGTCTGAAGGGAACATCATCAAGGATTGAGTCTCTGCGGGAGAGGCCGCGTGCAGTCATTTCTAAGTCGTGTGCTGTGCTGTAACTCCTTCCCCTTTACCACCAAGCCTTCGGGGAAGCCTGCTCCTGCTCCACAACAGCTGGGGTGCATGGTGCTTCTGGAAAGGCCCAGGTGGGGTGGGATCAGCATGAGGCAGGGGCATGTGGGAGGTGGTGACCACACATTGGCTGTGCTGAGAGTTGAGGGCTGAGAGCAATGACCAGGGACCGAGCTGACCAGCAGGCTGATGGATTTTTCTCAGAGAAAAGCAGCTACAATGGGAGAGCATAAGTCTATTCTTGGGAGAAAGAATAGAGCATAAGCCTATTCTATGTAGAGAAACCAGGGTACCTAAAGTGGGGGAGGTTAGTGGCTTTTGCCCTGTATGTTGACTAAAGGGCTCAAGTCACCCCACTTGGCCTCTAAAAGAAAAGGAGGGCCACAACCCCAGAGAGCTAGGGGCTCCCAGGCATGCATTACTGCACATAAAATCATTTGTGGCACAGAGCTGGGCTCTTCCAAATTTAACTGCCTGCCCCTTAATACATCCTAAATATCTCTCTTTTGGGGTCGGAGCACTAAGAACCAACATTTTCTTAAACCTCTTCATTTCCATCACCAGCATACCTTTTGGGGCCATTTTAACACAAAGAAACAGTTTTTGTTTTGTTCTGTTTAATCTCCTCATGACAGATAATGTGTAGGCTGTAATGAACAGAACAAAGAGGCTGTGCTGAGATGCAGGTGTTGGGTGATTGGTGAGGCTCACCCCCCAGCTAGGAAACTCGCCTTACCACTTCCTTGCCTCCAGCTTTGAAGGGACAGGACCCAACTTCATATCTCATCCAGGTGTCTTGTATACAGAAATGTCAACTGCCTTTACCTTTACAAGTACCACTATTCACATTACAGCCTCAAATGTCTGCACCCATTGTTTCTATTTTAAAGCCCCTGTCAAAGTAGCCAAAATGAAGGAATGTGAACTTAAAATTTGCCCCAGGAATTTAGAGGTCAACCATGCAGCCTGTGCTGACAGGCTGAGTTGATCTGACATGGCCTCAAGTTCTGTTGCTCTTATTTAGGTGGGAAAGGAAAAGGGGATGTGAGATGATGATCGAGCTTAAGCAGAAACTTACCACATTTCTTGGCCTTTATGTATTTAAGAAAGATATTTTCCTGGTTTCCTGTAAAATCAACTTCAACAACAAGGAGATGAGGAAAATAGAAGGAAAGGGAGTCCAGAGAAACAAATGTGGAGGTCATGTGCTGAGTACGGAAAAACCAAAGAGACTTGAAACCCAGGTCCTACAGGCACATGCATTAACTTAAAAACAACAGGGTTGCCCAA